GTCTCAATGGGCGTCCCACAATTATGAAATTGTGTGCTCTGTTTTTTGTTTTGGTTTGTTTTCTTTCAAACACTCGCGCACGTTTCGAATGGACACGCAGGTGATGTTTTCGGGTCACGCGATCAACACCTGGGCAGAAACGACGAAGAAGACAGGCAGTAGTCGGAGGATCGTGACGCAGCACGTTATTTTATTTTTTTTATCACATTTTTGTCGTGGAAACGCAGCTGGGCCGTCTCGCACACACTCACACAGAAATCCCTCCGGTAAGGTTTCCTTTGCAGTTTTATTAGACTTTGCACAGGGTCGTTACACGAGGACGTACCCACAAAAAAAAAAAAAAAAAAAAAAACTAAAAAAGAAAACCAAAAAAAAGAACAGATGCTCGGTGGAGCGAGGCTGCACGAGCCACGGCAAATAAAAACAGACCCCTCTCCGTGGCCTGGCCCCTGGCAGACCGGCTGCCCCCAGCCCGCGCTCCACCTCACCACCCCGTGCACAAGACAGCAAAGTGAGCAGAGGCTTCCAGCCCCCCCTGCTTTCAAAATGCTTTCAGATTGTACGTTGAACAGGAGAACCCCCCCCCACCCCGTAGGAGTCAACTTGCCTACGTAACCCTACGCCTTCTACATTCTATACCCGTGCGAATGGCGAAGAAAAACTCAACAAATCTACCACACAAATGCCAGTGCTCCCCCTCCCCCCCCTCCCAACCCCTCTTCATATACATATTTTTTCTCCAATTTTTATTTTTTATTTTTTGGTTTGTTTTAAAAATCTTTGGATGTGCAGTATTACCCATAGAGTAACAGTTTTCTTTCTTTTTTTGTCAAAAAAATTCAAAGGAAACTTTAAAAAAAATCAAACAGACAAAAACACACACACACACACGCATACACACATACACACTGCTTGTTGTTTGCCAGCTAGCCAATAAAGTAAGCCTGTTGAACTTTGTAGGCACTGGCAAAAAAAAAAAAAAAAAAAAGGAAAAGAAAAGGACCGTCTGGATTTTTGGCAGTGTTCAAAACACACAAGTTGAAATGTCGGCTAGGATGCAGTTTAAAAAACAAAAAAACTACAAAAAACAAAACAAAACATCAAAAATAAGGCTGTAACATTAAAGCATAAAACATCTTTGTTGCATTTTTATCCCCCCTTCCACAAAAAAACCCTATGCTATGTACAAATCTAGAGCTTCTACAAATGCATAAATTAAAGAACCTATACAAAAAAAAAAAGACAAAGGCAATTAAATTAAAATCACAACACAGTCGTAGGTAGAAGAGAAAGTAGGAGCACAACATCACAGCAGTTGGTTTTACCCTGTAAAAGTAATCGTCTACATCATAACATTGGCATATAACCCCCGTCGTCTGATAAAAAATAATCTTCTCCCCCTTAGGTCTCGCGTCAACCCTGAAACTTTGTCCTCCGTGTCACGAAACAGAGCACTTCTGCCCCACAGAAAGAAGAAAAAAAAGAGAGAAGTAAAATAAACAACAAACGACAGCTCCAAAATAGATAATTGTACAGCTTTTTTGACGTAACAATATCAAATGCCACACAGGCGGAGTTCTACATTACTCACAGATAAGACATCTCGATGCAGAACTCAAAGGAATTATTACTATGAGGTATTCAGAGACACTGGTAAAAGACATGCACGGCCAGAGTGCTGGACCCTCCTACACACAGCAGAGAGAGAAGGAAGGGAAGAGGGGAAGGACTCTGTGTGTGTGTGTGTGTGTGTGTGTGTGTGTGTGTGTGTGTGTGTTGTGTGTGTGTGTGTGTGTGTGTGTGGTGTGTGTGTGTGTGTGTGTGTGTGTGTGTGTGTGTGTCGGGGTGGGAGGGCAGGTAGAGGACGAGAAACAAAGACCTTTGGTTTGATCTGTAGAAGTGGACAACAGAAAATCCTTTGGTATGTCTTCATTGCATGTTTGCGCTGGCAAAAGCACCACGGTGTGATTCACAAAACGAAAGGTACAAAGGAAGGAAAAGAAGAAGAAAAAATTAATAACAATAATAAAAAAAATCCTTGTCTCTTCAGTTGTGGCCTTTCTACAGGCTGAGGTATTCACAGAGTCAAAAGTGAGAGGTCAACAGCGGTTTAACACTTTGGTTCAAGCAAGGCACTCGTCCTGGGAGGTTGTATCATTATTATTATCATTACTGTTTTTTTGTTGTTGTTTTTTCCAGTTTTTGTATTTTTTATTTGCTTTTTTTTTTTTTAAAGAAAGATGGTAACACATCTGCTTCTACTTTCAGGAACATGTCTGCCTATAGTTGAATCAGTGATTCTGCCCATGGCTACGTTAAGATGTCTCTGACTTGTTCGTTGGATCAATAATATGCAACACAAAGGGGCAGGGCCAGCAGAAAGACAAAAAAAAAAATCTATATACGGAGGGGTTACGAATAGCACTGTGATCAATTATTCACCGTCTTACTGCTGTTTTTGATTTGTTTTTGTTTTTTCACACTTCTATATTTCAGATAATCAAAGAAATTGTCCTATCAATCGAATCTTTTTTTTCTTCCCTAAAATGGAGTTTACAGATCGTCACTTTCCTAGAGTAATAGCCGAAGATGATTTTTGGCAAAATAAAAACCCCAAAACAAAACAGAACCTCTTTCTTTTCAACTGTGGGTCGAACTTCCTCTGTGATGAAGCAAAGCACTCGTTGGCCGTAACCACAAGACATCCAGTACATGAAAATCCTAAGTTCTCACAGGGGAAACAAGAGAAGGTGAACGTCTGTCTTCTATTCGCGCGTTCAGGATGACCAGTTGCCACGCTTACGTTGCAGCTCGTCTCCACAGAGGGCCGGGTCGCTGTGGACAGCGTCCTAACTTTCGAAAGCCAATGAAAACTGTATTTTGGATTTACTCTTGCAATGTGTGTTCGTCCAATCGGGTCGATAGACTGAAGCCTTATAAGTGCAACAAAATCAGCAAAAACAGAAGGAATCAGGAAGGAGGGAGCAAACATTGTTTCATCACATTTTAGTTTGAATCAACATTGTGTTTTTCTTTTTTAAAATAACTAATAAATAAAGCTACAAAGTCAAATTTAAGCATCTCTTTCACATTTTAACTGGGTTCTTCAAAAGGAAGAAGCGGAAAGAGTAACTAAGAAAGATCACGTTACTACAAGTCTTACTCTGCAGGCACCTGCATGGACAGTTGTGTGCATCTGTGGCTGGATCAGCACGTCTGCCTTTACCTGCATCAGCAGGGCTATGTATGGAGCCGTGATCAGAGCACAAATGAAATAAGAGCACGCATAAAAATTGAAAAAAGAAGTAACGTAAAAAGAGGACGCATGGGCTGATTGCAGGTCGGAGGGTCTGGAGCAGGGAGAAGGACAGGACAGGAGTGAAAACGCGAGAGAGAGAGGGGGGGCTAAATAAAAAGAGGACAGGACACATACATCACACTTCTTTGAACACCACTCACAGAGGCCGTGCAATTAGAAAAAATCTTTGGTTATCTTTGGTATCATCAAAAGTGATAGAAATCACGTATGGAACTTGAGTGAGGTAGCATCTTTGGTTCACACTAAGAAGAAGAAAAAAAACAGAACAAAAAAAGACAAAAGAAACATCAGCAGGTCTTGAAACATTGTCTTGTCATATTTTTGGTTTTTTCTCTGGAGAGATGACGACGACGACAATGAAGAAGAAGAAGGAGAAGAAGAAGAAGAAGAAGGCCTCTTCTCCTTCAGAGATGCGTTGTGATGAATGTACATCTGCTGACCCCAGTCGAGAGAAGGGAGGGGGGGGTTCAGTTTAATACATTTAATGCTGTGCCACCCCAGAGCCAGGCCCATGTCGTGCTTTCCTCCGAGTGCTGAAATGCAGGGAAGGTGAGGGCGCGGTGAGAGCTGGGGGAGGGCGGGGGAGCGACTTGGCAGCGAGCTGACATACAAAGATGCTTTTGTATTCAGGTGACGAGTTGACATTGCCGTGTAAGCGGCCCAAAGTGATTCGTTCATTGATATCATCTCCTCCGCTGTACATCTTTGATGAGGAGATCAAATCAAATCCACGTGAGAGGCATGCGGCGACGACGGACTGACACTGCAGTCCTGATTATTAAAGCGGTGACACAGTTTGTCCTTAAAAAAAAACAAAAAAGCATCTGAGGCTAGCTGCCACGCGCAGAGCCGGCAGAGAAAATGCACCGTTGAAGCACTTGTTGATTTGCAACCCACGTTGCAGCCCCCAAACCCCAACTTTGGGAAACACAGCATATAGTAATAAAGCCTTGCCCCTCCCTCACATGTTGCTGCCACGCTCGGTTTTTATTTTCTCATGTAAAATGAGACAAATTCAGTTACTTGTCAATGGCATGACTGAAAAAACATAGACAGTCATGGTAAAATGGCCAAAAATAGATCTGTATTTACCTTCGTAGCATGTAATTCTGTGAAGTATTTTGAATCAAAACTAACATGAATAAATAATTGTATTAGGCCATATTTCAGTACGTGTTATGAAGCAAAAACACGTACAGATCGTCACTTTCCTAGAGTAATAGCCGAAGATGATTTTTGGCAAAATAAAAACCCCAAAACAAAACAGAACCTCTTTCTTTTCAACTGTGGGTCGAACTTCCTCTGTGATGAAGCAAAACACTTGTTGCTTTATCACAGAAGCAATGAGTCGAGTCATTTTTTTTGCTATACTTAGTTGAATCTGGAAATAAATGTTTGATTTGATTTTCTTTGCAAATGAAATGACACTTTAAAAACTTAATGTTATCATATCAAGAAAATGTCATAATTGCCCAGACCTGCTTTTTAAATAAATATATTCTTTGGTCTTTATAGGTTTCGATTCTGCGCGACACGAGAAGCTTGATGCCGAGTGGTTTCTGTTATTTTCCCAACTGAATGCATCAGCGTATCGGAGGAAAGCACCATCGAATGGGCCGAGCTCCATTTCTGTTTCCTTCTTCTCCTTTTTGCTTTGGTTCAGGCTGTTTGGGTTTGGGTTAGCAGTCTATGAACAGACACTTCTTTGCCCCCCCCCGTCCCGTCTGTCCGGAATGCTCGACAGAACCACAGACATACAGTCCACGCCACTGGTCCAAACAAAGGTTGCGGAACAATCTTGGTCGCTCCACGCAGGATGAAAATGTTCTTTCTTTTTAAAGTTGATTGGACAATCGCGCTGGAACTCCACATTCGTCCATGTTTTTTTTTTCTTTTTAACATTTTTTTTTCCTCAGGCTGTGGACAGCTGCAGATCAGACTGCCGATAGGCTGATTAGACCTCCTCCTAGGGACCCATCATTAAAACCAACCAATCAGATTAGAGATAAGGATGGCAAATGATAGACTGATACACAGTTGGGAGGTGAAGGTGGGGGTGTAATAAAGCTAAAGACCTGGGTGTGTACGTGTATTTGTGAGTGCGTCTGCATGTTTGCGTGCGTGCGTGTGTGTGTGTGAAAGAGAGTAAAGTCTTTTTGCAGTATGTTACACAAAAACTGTGTCACTGAAACAAACATCGTAAAGCAGGTCAAACAAGAAGTCTTTGGTTTGCTTTTCATCTTTGGATACTATAAATATCAATATAGTACAGGTTTAAGGGCAAAATGTTGCTTCGAGGTCTTTTAAGTTTTCTTTGTTTCTCAGAAATGTTTTTATTTCATTTTTTTTTTAAAGCTTTTAAACCGAGGTTGAGTCAGTCCATGAGTTGGTCAGGTTCGGTCCGACTTCAGGCTTTGGTGCAGACGTTGGGCCCCGAGTTGGCCACGTGACCGGAGCCGTCGTCCACCCACTTGTCCAGGCTCCGCCGCCGAGCGTTCATGAAGAAGTTGCTGACTGTGGCCAGCTCGAGGCCCAGCTGCTGGGCGATGGTGAGCTGCAGCTCCTTGGACGGACGCTTGTTCTCCTTGAAGATGGCGTGGAGCGTCCGCCGCTGCACGTCCGTGAACACCAGCCGGGGCTTCTTGGTCACGTTCCCTCGCTCGCTCCGGCCGTGGTCCTGCTCCTTGCGCTTGCACGCTGCAGAGGAGGGGGGGAAGCAGGCGGAAAGGGGAAAGGCTTGAGAGAGGTGCGCTTGATTGACAAAAAACAACAACAAAAACAGGAATTGGGTCAGTTTATGGTGAGAACTCTGGCTTCTGTGGCCTCACATGGTTTCACTTCAACCACTTTGATTTCAGAATCAAAGAGGCAGTGTTATGTGTTGTACAGGCATGTAGTATCATTTTATAGCCCAGTTAAGTAATTATGTTACCTTCAGCTGCTAAAAAATGCAAACTATGACTATTAATATAAATTTTACTTCTTTTAAAGACCTTCTGAAGCTCCGCCTTACAGAAGTCATCACAATGTGGCTCCTCTGTTACCTCTTTAACAACAATTTTTCTGGCGTTGCACTGAAAAGTAACTTGTTTTATGAACTCGGCTAATGCAGAGTTTCTCCAGGTGTTTGCTAATTGCTGCTGGCTAGTCTGAAGGGGCTGAACGCATGAGTCCCATGGGAGGGCTGCTCCGTGAGGCAGAAGTGCAGAGGAGGAGCTGCGTCTCGAAGGCGGAGCTAAGTCCACCCAGACATGTTGTTCAGCTGAATGGTTGCCATGGGAGGTTACAGGGTTTTCCAAACATGCATAAAAGAATCAAAGTGACACTCCAGACGTCTTTCTGATGACGTCTGATGTTTTAAAACATTGCAGCTCAAAAAAGTAAATTTCACATAGCACTGCCCCTTTAAGACATATGGTCCAATATGACTAATAGCATCTCTAATGGTATTAACAGCAATAATAATGATAACATTGATACCAATAATGCAAAAACAACAACAACACAATACATCACGATATTTTCTCACATTTAGTATAGATCATTTCCTTACACAGAAGTTTGAATTATTTAATGTTTGGACGTTGCTCTAACTCCACAGTCAAACTGATCTGAAATGCAAAAGCCTCTTTTTGCAGTTTTGATTTTACAAGCTTTGGATTTACATTCCCTCCTTGCCCCCACAGCCCCCAGATTCTAAAGTCCTTCTTTTGAAATTTCACAGCTTAACGGCTTAAAATTGGGCCTGTGTCTCTTTAAGAACTTCCTGCTCTTCCTGACACTCCGCCTTCGGCATGTCATCACTTCAGGACCCCTCGATCAAGCGTATACAAACGTTTGTCGGAGTGCTGGACTGAGAAATATCTCACACAATGAGCTCACCGGACGCGTGTTTGCTAATTGCAGCTGGCTAGTCTGGAGGAGCTGACTGGGGGAATTGCAGGGGAGAGCTGCTCTGTGCGGCGGAAGTTTGAAAACTGCAGCTCCAAGGAGGAGCCTTTGAAGGCGGAGCTGAGTGGTTGCCAAAACATGCTTGAAAGAATCGAGGCAAAACTCCAGGCATGTTTTTCATGAGGGTGAAACATTATAACATGACTGACAAAAAAGTCAATTTTTCACAACACTGTCTCTTTAAAAAGTTTTGTTATAAAAGCATCACCCTCCTGTTATTGGCCACATTGGTTTTGACAAGTCTAATGCATTTGGACGACCCAGTCAAGGTCCGCTCTGGCTGATTCCATTAACACGTCTAATGTTGATTAGGACTGTTTGGTTGAAACAGAAATTTAAAAAAAAAAAAAAGTCTCATCACCTGGTCAGAGGTTTCATGCGTCTCGGCGCATAAGTGGCTCCCCAGATAAAGCACTCACGCTTCTTTTCGGGAGAATGAATCATAATAATGCTCACGGATCTGCAAAAGACCACACATGCTGACAAGCTGGTTTTTATGCCTGTGAGAGCTCTCTCTGACATTTAGCAACCTAAAGGAATCCAGCAGCAGTCTGGATGCTGGACACTGGGCTGCTTTATTTCTTTATTTATTTGTGTTTGTTCTAGCACAGCAATTACTGAGAGAGCTATTGGAAATCGCAGTGGGATTTTTCCGTTTCTTTCATTTTTCTCAGAGCAATGTGAGCGGAAGCAGCTGGTCCAGGCAAAGACAGCAACTCGACTCATCAAGTTGAGAAAAGAAAAAGAGATAAAATACATTTGAATGCATTGTGTTTGGGTTGGTTTTATTCCATGTTTCTTAGGAGAAATTACATAAGTCTAACACAGAATTTTATAGCTTAGAGCCAACTTTTAAGGTGTGTTGCTGAACTCTAACAAAACCTGAGATTCGGTTTCAGCTGCACTGTTTTATCAGTTTAGAAATGTAATGAAACAGGAAATATTTGCCTTTTTAATTTATAATTTATTAATCACATAAAAGACCAAAACCTCTGCAATTCAAAGGGAGCGTCGCTCATTTAAAACCGACAAGCACAAATGCTTGAACAGTACTATATAGTCCTGATTAACACTGATATTGTAGGTGTGGGCATTTATCGTATCGTACTCTTTATTACTTATCATGATAAATTTCTTATCATGATAAGAGGGTTGATTTATTGCTGTCACAATAAATTCCAATTAAAGAGGCTCCCACCACTATTGTTGTTGCACTATTTCCTCCATGTTCTGTTCAATGAAAGGAGCAATAAATACCAACATATTTGAAAATACAGCTCCTCTGTGCAGTTTGGTGAAACTAATCACACCACTTTATACAACTTCTGTCTTAAAGAAGCATGTTACAAGTGGGAATGTTTGTCCAGAGCACTATTTGCGTTTGTGAGGCTATAATTACGGTGACGGTCATCTGGTTCATCCTCCACTGAAAAAAACAAAACAAAACAAAAAAAACCCAAAATCAAACCAAAACTGGTTTGGATAAGAAAATCCTATTATATTTCTTTGCAAATCCATTCACACAACAAGCCCCCCCCCTCCCTCCACACACACACACACACACACACACACACACACACACACACACACACACACACACACACACACACACACACACACACACACACACACACACACACATACAGTGCTGGACCTGCGCAGAGGTCCCGCGATTTGGTGTCCCAGCTTAGCTTGACACCAAGTTTGATTTAAAACAGGTAAAGATGGATATGAACAGACTTTCTCAGCCACGCTAAGTCATTATTTATAACCCTATCTTCATAAATATGCTGGGCCTGTAACCTGTCCTTCAATTGATACAGAATTCAGTTAAAGTCTCATCAAAGAGACATTGTTTTGGGTTAAAACTAAAAAATATAATAACAATAATAATAGTAATAATAATAATAATAACAATAATAATAATAATAATAATAATAATAATAATAAGTAGAATGTAATTATTATTGCATTGCCCTCTACGGCGCTTGATCAAAACATACAGAGTTTTAATTACGTTCACAATACCTTCCAAAAGTTTTTTTTTTTTTTTTTTCAGTGCAGACGTCTAAAACAGGGACTGGTGAGCGCTGTCCATGGTGCTGAAAGCCCCAAAGGAAAAAAAACGCCCCCCAGCTTTATGTACATATGTATTATACATATATACATAATTATATATGTATAATTCTTTTTTTTTTTTTATTAAGCAGATGTATAATTTGTATTCTGCTGCTGTTGAACGTTTTCAGTTTTTTTGTTTCGTTTTATGTTAAGCACAGCCAGGCAAACCAGAGCGCACCGACGGCTTGGAACCAGCAGGGGGCAGACGAGGGCTTCTCAAGCGACAGAGCGTGCGCTCTCTCTGTTTCTTCAAATGAAGAGAGCGGCTTTTGCCTTGAGTCTGTGCTGAGGTGCAGCACAGCGGCCTACGCTGGCATGGCCATAAAGACAGACAGAGAGAGAGAGAGAGAGAGAGAGAGAGAGAGAGAGAATGGCGTGTACGAGCTGCTCGGTGTCTCCAGCGGTGGTAAATATTAACAGAGAGTCGGAGCCCCTTGTGTTAAGGGCCGCTATAAATCAGCAGGAGTGAAGGCCACGCAGACAGCAGCAGGAGCCACCGCGGAGCGGCCACGGCCACGGTACGAAGAGAGAGAGAGAGAGAGAGAGAGAGAGAGAGAGAGAGAGAGAGAGAGAGAGAGAGAGAGAGAGAGAGAGAGAGAGAGAGAAAGAGAGAGAGAGAGAGAGAGAGAGAGAGCTTTCCCAGGAAAGCGTGGGACCTAACAACGGCCTCATTATCAGCCTAATCACACACGGACAGGCTCAAACAGAACCACTGCTGCTCCCGGCTAATCATTACAAGCACGCAGATAACTTCACACAGTGAAAACACACCGCACACACACACACTGCTGGACCTGCGCAGAGAGCTCCCGCGTTTCAACAAACAGACTTGTGTGCAGACAGAAACATAAAATGCAGCAGATGTACCGCAAGAACTATTTAGTGATCGAACCCAACAGAAAACCCAAATGTTCTATTCTATTCTGCTCTATTGTACTTCATATATATAAGTGATTACGTGGGAGACCAGAAAAGGCCCGAGATTAATACCAGAAGCCTAAAATCAATAAGCATATCACATCTGCTTCTGCACTGATCAGATTCTCCTAGCAACGTCCGGATCAATAGTGTGGGCCTGGATCTGATCTACAGCTATTCTCCTTAAGAGAGAATACCTTTATATTTTTATATAATAGCTTTATATTTTTATATGATAGCTTTATAATTTTATATAATAGCTTTATATATATATACATGAACAAATTTTAAAAACTACTGTTCATGTATTCTGAATCATTGGATCTCTATCCTGTGGCATTTTCTTTTCTTTTTTTGTTTTTTGTTTTGTTTTTGTTTTGTTCAGACATAAACAAAGCAGCTGTAGCTCTCAAGAATGACTTGCAGGCTCAATAAAAGCTCTGATTGAGCTGGAACCATTAGAATCCGGGCTGCCAGTGAACGTTCACGTCAACAACACGAGTTTCAGTTCATTGACGGACTCGACAACTCAAACTACGAAATCATCCGATATGATGACAGCCTTTAAATAATAATAATAATAACAATAATAATAATAATAATAATAATAATAATAATAACAATAATAACAATAATAATAACAATGATAATAATAATATGAAAGCCACATTTTGAAGCTCATCTAATCGCCCTTCAAAGCGCACACACACAGGAGCAGCAGATGGGAAAATTGAAATATAATCAATGCGATATATATATATATATATAATATATATATATATATATATATATATATATATATATTATATATAATATATATATATATATATATATATATATATATAAAAACTGTCCACGAATCCTCGCGCGCTTTTTGGGCCTCACTGCCCGCACCTGTGAATTGAACCCGAGGGAGAGATTTCGACCACGCGTCCATCGGTTCATTAACACAAACTTCAGTCGAGTCAGATTCGGTTCCTCGGCTCCGACTGTTGGATTCTGTCCTAACGGGCTGTTATTCCCCCTCCCCACTTGTCTTAACAGGACGAGTTTATTTTATTTTAGATTTCTTGAAGCCACGGCCAAAGCAATCTTCATCTGCTAAATTATGCATGACACCAACTCCGGTTGACATTTAAATCGAGTTTATCACCCTCTCTCTCTCTCTCTCTCTCTCTCTTTCTCTTTCTCTCTCTCTCTCTCTCTTTCTCTTTCTCTCTCTCTCTCTCTCTCTTTCTCTTTCTCTCTCTCTCTCTCTCTCTTTCTCTTTCTCTCTCTCTCTCTCTCTCTCTCTCACACACACACACACACGAGCACATGTACACCGCCCCCCACACACACATTCTCTATTTCCTCTGTTTACAAGCAGAAGGCCAGCAGAGAAAAAAAAGAGAGAGAGAGGGAAAAACGAAGAGCTGATCGGTTGCATCGACACCAAAATAAACTCGTTCCTGTAATGATTTCTTGGAGACGGATCGGTTTACGAACACAGTGCTGCGATCGATACTTTGGAGACAAAGTGACATGAGCACTTGTTTCAGTCGAGCCCAAAATGAGTCTAGAAACAGTAAAAAATAAAATAAAATAAATAAAAAAAGAGATCCCGCTTCTTTTCTGCAATGATGAAGCATGTAATAATGATTTATTAAAGCATGTAATAATAATTTATTACATGCTTAATCAGTTATAAGCTGATTAACAACAACAACAACAATAGCCTCAAAACTAAGTTTTTTCTAAAAACTCATAACCTTCAACGTTGGAGATTAGATTGTCTCTTAATTGGAGGGAACCGCTACACTGAACCTGACCCATGTTGTTCAAATCAACTCAGTGTTTTTGGAGAAAACAGGCTGAATGTTGCCTCACATGAGTTGCAAACTGTTCAGCAGCAAAGGGGTCAAATGTTCTCTCATATATCAATTTTCATAGCGGGTATTTGTGAGGATGAAAGCAATAAATAACTAAATAGTAATGAAAAAAAGGAGGTGCTTTACCGAGGCTTCGCTCACCTGCGAGCCTGAGAGCGCTCATGCGTTGGAACTCAGGCTCCTGCAGCCACTTCCACATGCGACGAAACGTCTCTCTGCCGGACTTGAGCTTCGACCAGGGCTTGGGGTTCCTCAGCAGGTCGGACAGGGTCCCTTGAGACCTGCACAGGACCCGCTGAGCAAAGATGGCCTGAGGGATGCTGTAGCGCTTCAGCTCCGTGGTGATCCTCTGCGCGACCTCTTTGGTATTCACCTCCTCCATCTGTCCCCCAGAAACACCGCCGCCTCCGCCGCCTCCTCCTCCTGTTCCTCCTCCGCCGCCACCTTGGTGCCCAGGGCCGGAGGCCTGCTCCCGGTTACTGCCCAGCCCCTGGCCGTGGCCCTGCGCGCCGAGGTGGGCGTGCGGGTGGTGATGCAGGCCGTTGATTTGCACCATCCCGGCGGAGGAGGTCATGTGCTGCTCGGCGTGTCTGCTGAGCATGGCCGGATGGTGAGCCTCGAACCCGCTGGGCGTGAGCATCTTCTCGCCGGGCATGGCGGCGCCGGGGTGAGCGTACGGCGGGATGCCGGCCTGAGACGTGTGTATGCTGGCCAGCCCGGAACCAGACAGCGGCGAGAGGCTCTGGCCCATGCAGGGGTCTTTGTGATGGTACGCGGGATACAGACTGTTCATGGGCGCCAAGCTGCGGTCCTCCCGCATCAACGTGAAGCTGCCGCTGACGTTCCCGGGGAGCCTCTGGTGCGGGTGCGGGTGGTGGGGATGGTGGTGGTGGTGGTGATGGGGGGGAAACTTGTCGGACACGGTGGAGATGGGGGGTAAGGGCTGCAGGGGGGTTAGGGTGGTGTAGGTGGTGCTCGCGCTCATGCCGTGGGGGGCTTCGCACATGCTGATGGCTGGGTGCAGGTGTCCCGGGTGGCCGGGGTGATAGTCTCCGCTGTCCAGTAGGGTGGCCATGCCCATTGCGCGGTGGCTCAGTCCCCGCGGGCTCGGGCGGGAGTGCGGACTGTGGCCGCTCAGCAGCTCTCCGTGGCCGGCGACGGACTCATGGCTCACTCCGTGCAGGTCGCCTATGTTCTCCATCGACAGCTGCGCGTTCATGATCCGGGCTCCGCTGTGGACAAACCATCTATCTGACCTACTGCCGTAAGCCGACGTAAAGGAAGTCCACGCGTCCAGTAAAGTTCAGTTGGCTTTTTGTTGTTGTTGCTTTTTGGTGTCCTCCTCGCAGCAGCCTCCTGTCCAGATCCTCTCTGTGCTGCAATAGTCGATTATTCTCCTACCTCTCTGCCGCCGCTCTCCAGGAATAAAATGTCTCTTCAAAATCTGTTATTTTTCCTCTTTCAATATAATATCTAAATATGCTTGTATTTATCCTTTTCTCTCTTTTTTTGCCCTTTTTTTTCTTTCTTGTTTTTGCTTTTAAAACCATATATTTCTTTTCTTCTTCTTTGTAATTCAAGCCCCCCCGTCGCCAACCAGCTGTCCTTGCGCTCCGGTCGGGTGCCGCGCCATCTCTCGAGCGGTGTGTGTCCAGTCCCTGCTCCACCGCGGCACAGATCTCACCGTCTGCACATGCGCACTGTGCACGCCGGTCTCCTCCCATACTCCCCCCCCCCCCCCCCTCTCTCTCTCTCTCTCTCTCTTTTTCTCTCTCTCCCCACACCTACTCTCTCCAACACACGCGCACGCGCACATTTCCACGCCACTCTGACGTCGCGCACCTTTATTAAGGAAGGGAGGCACCAAACATTGGCCGTGGCAAACCCTTTTAACATTTAATAGACACGCCGGTGGCACGTGAGAGGATTTCCATGAATCCAGTGATTTTTTTTTTTTTGACCCACAAAAATCAAACTTCAGACATTTTTAGAAAAACGTTCAGCCCGCAAGCGATCAACATTTCAGGAATCCCAATCAGAAAGTGTTGACGGTCAGTCAATAAACCAGTATGTGACAGAAGTCACTGAAATAATCCAGAGTAGCAGACACTGCTGCTTGTCGAGGTTTTGATTTCTTTGGTTACATTAGCAATATCTGCAAAAAGCGAGAACATTTGTGAAACTGTTATTCCGTTTTGACAAGCCAACAATGACAGCACTTCCTATCCACAAGCTGAGTATATCTGATCACTGATGTCAGTATTGGGTATCGAAAACAACACTTGCCAACAATCGCGATAAAGGTATCTGAGATCAGAGCTTCGTGAGGATTACGTTTTAAAAAAATAATCCAGAATGACATCCTTCCCAGCCAAATCAGCATTTTAGATATTTCAAACATCATTGCTGTCAGACATTAGTATGATTAATAATCGCAGTTGAGATTTTGTTGAGAGATGCAAACTCTATCCATCCTCCCATCATCTCTAAACACGGATCCTTGAATGGGAAGGGTGTGTGTGTGTGTGTGTGTGTGTGTGTGTGTGTGTGTGTGTGTGTGTGTGTGTGTGTGTGTGTGTGTGTGTGTGTGTGTAGGAGGGGGGGCGACGGTCATGTCTACCTCTGCCAGTCATTAGGCGACAGGCAGGGTCACTGGGTGAGACACACTGAACCGGTGGTCAGTCCCACACACACATACCGAAGTGCGATTTTAAATCGGAGAATTTCCCCAAGCAGTCATGCGTTTGGACTGTGGTAGAGTACCCAGAGAGAACCCACTTACACATAAAGATTCTTGCTGCAAAATGGCAGGATCAGCAGCTGCAAACTCAATACGCGTAATGGACATGAAATGTGTCTCACTCGTCTTGGGCACAATGACGGACTGATTTTTCTGTGTTTTCCTGTGACGAGAAGGGAAATGTTTGTTTTTGCTGAGAGCAGCTGTTTTGAAGCGAAGCTGGATGTAGCTGAAGTTGGCGTCTGCTTCCTCTAAGTGCTGCACTAAAGGAATATTTCGACGTTTTCACTGAGTCTAAACTGAACTTGATCAACTCTAGTTCACGGTTGTGAATATTTAGACAACTTAGACCAGAACTGGATAACAGTACAACTAAACTGTAGGGTGACAGTTCAATGTTATTTATCATTATTATATAATGTTTTTTTGGGGGGGAAGGGGTTTGTAGTAGGAACACTTTAACATCAGACAAGCATAGCAAAAATACTAAGTAATTATAGACATATGTAGTTTTTTTCAATTAAATCTTGAAATGGCTTTCCATACACCACTAAAGCTTTCATCTGCAGGCGTCATATTAACAGTAGAACTTTATTGCGTAAATACGTCACCTCTTGTAATTAAGGGAACTACTCTTGTTATAGCTACAGGTTTGCCTTGTTATTTTAGAAAGTAGGGCTCCTTACGGGGCTCAGACGTCAGACCTCCTTAAATAATTAACTGGAAATGAAGCATACTTCCGGGTTTATTTGGAGTTTATTTTTAACCATTTAAGTCCTGATTTCAAAACAATATCTATCTATCTATCTATCTATCTATCTATCTATCTATCTATCTATCTATCTATCTATCTATCTATCTATCTATCTATCTATCTATCTATCTATCTATCTATCTATCTATCTATCTATCTATCTATCTATAATCAATAGAGTCGAATGAATCTTCTTATTGTAAGTTAGTGGCGCTGTCTGTAAACTTTAAACTTGATCGTGTGTGTGTGTGTGTGTGCGTGTGTGTGTGTGTGTGTGTGTGTTACATATGCGTCCATTCTTTGGTTATAGGCGAAGTTCAGCTGCAGCCCCCCCCCCTCCTACCCCCCCCCCCCCCCCCCACACACACACACACACGCACACACACTCCTGTGCAGCCAAATGCATGTGGCGGTTTAACCAAACGCAGAGCACCGTGGTATCTTCCTTTTTGATACAAAGAGACGAGCAGATGTGTCTATTGTTCAACCATTAGGCTTAACGAACCAAGCCCAGCATGGCGCGTGCGCGCGAGCGAGCGAGCGCGCGAGAGCGTGTGTCCAATTTGCCCGAGCGCAGCAGCAGCAGCAGCAGCAGCAACGTGTTAATGTGTTGGTTAATCCGCTGTGCCGGAGGAGTCATTTGGTCTCCATGAGCATTCAGTTCACGTCGACGTTAAAATAACAGCAGCGTGCTGGAATTTGGTTTTTGATAACAACAGAAACTTATGACAAGGTGGGTCCGTATTTGCGCATAATCATTAGACGTATTCTCGTTTTAAGGAGAGAAACGACACGCTGAGACAGACCGGGAGGCTTTGCAAAAAGTTTTTACCATCCCTGATAAGAGGAGGAAAAAAAAAAAAAAAAAAGGGGGGGGGGGGGTCTCGTTTGGCCTGATAGAGCGGTACAGTGCAGGGCGTCCTCAGCCGAGGTGACAGCTTGCAGCGGGTCAGTGTCCTTCTGGACCCCCTGCTGAATGAGGGACATGTCAAAGGTGACGCTTCAAGACTCCCAAAGCCAACATCTGCGGGGGTAACAGATTAACCTTTCAGACTTTTCACTGTTTTGGACCTGCTTTGGGGGCCCCACATCTGCCGGCCTCCGCTAACCCTCCAAACAGCCCCCCTCATCCCCTCCCCCCCCACCTCCCGACAATAGACCCGGAACTCGGTTGAACGATTTGAATAAAAGAAAATACAGAGAGAGACAGAGAGAGAGAGAGAAGAAGAAGTTAAACTGTCTCTGATGTGAAGTCAATGTCAATGGCGTGTGTGTGACGTGTGTCCAGACAAAGGGACCCTAATGCATCCAAGTGTGACTGTTCAAGCGCGTAGTAAAAAAAAAAAAAAATAAAAGAATGAGTGTGTGTGTGTGTGTGTGTGTGTGTGTGTGTGTGTGTGTGTGTGTGTGTAGTATGGGAGTTTAGAGGCAGGTCTCAACAACACAACAAAAACACAGCGGGTGTAATTACACGATCACACCTCTGTTCTTCCTCATCGAAGAGACTGTATGATTTCAACCTCCAGCAAGTCTCAAGAATAAACCGACCTACAACCTGAATACTGATACTGCTACCAATAATAATAATAATAATAATAATAATAATAATAATAATAATAATAATAATAATAATAATAATAATAATAATAATAATAATAATAATAATAATAATAATAATAATAATAATTGTAATCTAACTTATTTCACTGGGGCATTCAAAAAGTTTTCAGAAGGAAGGAGGGAGAGGAGGATGCTGATAGCCTCAACAGAAACCGAAAAAGGCAATCGACTCAAACGATTTCGAAACTGACAAAACAATTATAAGGATTATAACGATTGGTCGGCTTTTGTTCGGTGCCACCTGATTTAAAGAAGAAAGTGAAAACAAACAAATAAGTAAATAAACAAACGATAGAAGCCTTTCCTCCTTAAAAAAAATCTGAAAATGACCAACAGAAATAGATGCAATACATATTGATACATGCAATTTATTTTCCTGCGTTTTGTCAGCACAAGAAAAATAATCTCTAGATACATCTGCATGTAATCTGCACACATATGTGTGTGTGTGTGTGTGTGTGTGTGTGTGTGTGTGTGTGTGATAACATGACAAAGCATTCTTATAAGAGTCCAGTGTTAGTTCAACTTTTTCTCCCCGCCCTCCCAGAGAGAAGTGTCGGCCGAGGCGCAGGCGATGACGGAGGCTCAGGTTCGGCCTCTCGGCAGCAAAACCTCATCTACACATTCTTATTCGGATCGATCGGCTGCTGCCACGTCTGCTCGACCCCGAGCTGCGCTCTCTGTGGCCATTGTGCCGTGATGGGCCCGCCTTATGTAGAATGTAAAAAAAAATTTTTTTTTTTTTTTTTTTGTTTTGTTCGACAGAGGAAACATTTCACCCCAATTAGTGAGCAAAGAAGACGAGTGCAGGAAAAACTAACAGGTAGATGGTACGTTCTTGTTTACAAAAAAAAAAGAAAGAAAAATACAAAAGGAGGAGCACGCGATATTACTTTTTAGTAAAAATGTAAACACATTGAAAACATGTTTGTTACACTTTTTTTTTAACGACGATTAATCATGGGCGCCACTCTGATGAAACCTGCAGCCTCATATCCAAGCGAGAAGCAATAATGCCTCCCAGACAAAAAAAAAAAAAAAAAAAAAAAAAGGAATGAGCGCGGATCAATATTTCAGCAGCTCTGCCAAAACGACATGTCTTCCCAGCTTCAAAATGACAATTACATCTTATTTAGGCAGAAGTCCGCGCGCTAACTGGCATCGGCTGAACTTTTAGAAACGAGCCCACTTGAGTTGGGAGTCGGAGGAAAATGAGGGCGCATATGCAGGGAAAGCGAATTAACCTTTGGAGAACATGTAAACGCATCGCTCCCTTCGTTTCCTTTTTTTCTTTCTTTCTTTTTTTTTCACTCATAACAGAGTCCGCCGGATCCACATTTATAATCTCGAATATGGGGACTGTACGCCACTCCAACGACAGCCAACAAGCTCAAAATGAAATTCCTCATGAATTTCAAGGTTTAGAAACAAACAAACAAACAAACAAAACAAAAAGATATTTGAGAAAATTTGAGATATTCATATGTGAAGTGAAGCGTTGGCGCGGCTGCCCTTTCGGGCTGCATTTGAGCTACAGGCCTTGGAAACACACCGCGCCGCGCCGC